TCCCCTGACACAGGAGAAAGATCACAGGAGAAAGTTTAGGTATCAAAGGTCTGAGAATGAGATTTGGGAGATGCCCTCTCTCTGTTCTGATGTGAGCCTCTCTGTCTTGGTTTCCTCACTTTCATCTCTTGGGCCCCCCCCCCGGGGGGCACCCGCTGCTCAGAGTTAGCCTCTGTCACCTCCAGCTGTGACATCTCCTCCTACTTCTCCGCTGGGTTATTAGCGTTCCCCCTAATGGCTCCAACAGGTGGGCATCTGCAGTTGTCACTGGTAATGGGGAGAGCACTACTGTTGAAGCCGTCCCTTCTACTTCTGTGGCTTTGACATTTCTTTTTTAAAAAATATTTTATTTATTTATTCATTCTTGAGACACACACACACACACACACAGAGAGAGAGAGAAGGAAGCTCCTTGTGGGGAGCCCAATGTGGGACTCGATCCCGAGACCCCAGGATCACGACCTGAGCCCAAGGCAGATGCTCGACCACTGAGCCACCCAGGTGTCCCTAGCTTTGGTGTTTCAAAGTTCCTTAGGAATACAACCTACCTGACTCCCAAGGGAGATATCTTGTAAGTGTTCCACCTGGGTCCACAGCTGCCAAGTTCTCTAACTTAGTGGAGAGTAAGGAGAGCATTCCTTAAATCCACACTTCTCAAACTATAATGTGTCTTCAAAACACCTGGGATCTCTTGTTAAAGAGCGTGGGAGGGCCTCTGAGCTTTTGCCTTTCTCAGGTGATGAGGTTGCTCCTGACCAGAGTCTGAGTGGCAAGACCTTAGGTTGAATTAAATCTATCAGCAGAGCCACAGAGAGCAATCCCACATGACCTGCTGTCATATACTGGATCAGGAAATCATCCAGTTTTTGACCACAAACCTTGTTTCTGGGGCACCTGGGTGGCTCAGTCGGTTAAGCGCCTGCCTTCATTCAGCTCAGGTCATGGTCCCAAGGACCCGGAGTAGAGCCCTGCATCTGTGGGCTCCCTGCTCAGCCTCTGGCTGCTTCTCCCTACCTCTCTCAAATAAATAAATAAAATCTTTAAAAACAACAACAACAACAACAACAACAACCTTGTTTCTTTGATAGTTCCTTATATGTCATGGTTTTGCATTTTCTTCTCATCTGATTAACCATCTTCTAGAAATGCTCTCATAAGTGTTGACAAACCCTGAAACTGTGTGGCACCAAGGCTGATAGATTAGAGCTTGGACTTAACAACACTGGGGCAGAGAGCGACCTGGGGCAAATGAGCTGAAGACTGTGCAATCGTGTTTAGGAATGACGTGGAGGGATATGGAGCCTCCATCCCTTTCCCCTTACATGTGCCCTTCTTGCCACAATAGTGGGTGATAAGCTAACTCTTCATCTGAAGTAATAATAATTTAATGTGTTACCCTTTAAGGGAAATTTGAGAAGGCAATCTTAAAGAGGCGATGTCTTAATCTAAAGGCAAACTCTACTGGTGTCATTTTAGGCTCCACAGCAGACTAGTGGAAACGACTTGTGGCAAGGGGGCTGCTTAGAGCGTACAGTGACATAGCTGCTTCTTCCACCTTCCGTTTGGTTCCCAGACACATGAGACATACTGTGCTTGGTTCTGCAACACCTATGGCATGGAAACAATTTCCCCAAGGTTGGTGGATTTGGAGCAATTCACATTTTCAAATCAGCCATGGGCTAGGGAAGAGCTCATGAAGACAATTCGAGTCATTGCTTCCAAAGCCAAGCCAACTAGGGAGCAAAGCAGCCTTCAGGTAGAAATAACTGTCTCCGTCAAGGGAAGAAGTGAGGCAGCTGCACTGCTCCAGGAAAGAGACGGGAACTTCCTCCAGCCTGGTGAGCTTGGGAGGGAAGAGCATACCCTAGAAACCAAGGCAAGAGTTTCCTCAATAATCACTTAAGGAAAGCCGAAGGGGGCTCCCAGGACAGGATGTTAAAACGAAACCATTTTAGTTTCAGTTTTGGCTGAGGCTGCAAGACAACAAACACCCCAAGGTAGAGTGAAGTGTGCAGATCTTGCCAAAAAAAAAAAAAAAAAAAAAGATGGTGGAAAGCCAGTTTTATACCTATAGGTGACTACCTACATCTAACCTGCAAAAGAAATATAGAGGTTGAGAAACGGGCTGACTAGAAGATGAATTATGGAGAGAACAGTCTAGTATATTCCCAAGGGTTCCAATGTGGCCATATGAATAGCTTGATATCTGTCCCTGGAGCTCAAGACACGCAAGGGATTATTGTTTGATTCCCATGGGAAATCCAAAAGTGTGGCTACTCTGATGGCAGAACGAAGGAGAGGTGCCTGCAGGGTTCAGCCTGCATGCTCAGAGTTTGTTTGGGCAAAGGATGTGCAGTGTTTGTCAGGGGCCAGATGTGGGACATCAGAAGAGAGATCTAGGGGTGCCTAGGTGGTTCAGTTGGCTAAGCATCCTGGGATCGAGACTCAGGTCTGGCTCCCCACTCAGTGGGGAGTCTACTTGTCTCTCTCCCTCTGCCCCTCCCCACACTTGTGTTCACTCTCTCGCAGATAAAGAAAATCTTTAAAAAAATAAAAAATTTAAAAATAAAAAGTTTGTTTTAGAACAAGAAAAAAGAAGAGAGATCTAAAGTAAGGTCTTTGGGGCGTCTGGGTGGCTCAGCTGGTTAAGGATCTGACTCCGATTTTGGCCCAGGTCATGATCTCAAGGTTGTGAGATTGAGCTCCATGTGGGGTTCTGCCTTGGCCTGCTGAGGATTCTCTCTCCCTCTCCTTCTCACCCTCCCCCTGCCTCTTAAAAAAGTTAGATCATCTCAGATTCTTTCTGTGGGACTGCCTGGTGGCACAAAGGGACCTCTGCAGAAAAAAGCTAGAGATTTACCTGCAGATTTGGGGCCATGGAAGGAATTGTAAGTGACCAGGTGACCAGCCAGAGAAGAGTTAGATTTGTCCATGTCAAGTTAAGTGCAGGTGAGAGATGGTAGGATCACCAAAGCACCCGTGTAAAGAACCCAGAGGATGAAGAATCAGCTTTAAACACCTGCCAGAACTAGGGAGCATGATTCCTACTCACAGCAGGATTAGTCAAGTAAAAACTCTCCTACCTCTTGCCTCTCTTCCTTCCCCTACTCTGGTCACGAAGGATTCAAAATCATTAATAGCTAGATATGAGAAGGGCAAAAATACAAAGTTTGGTGTGAGTTGGAGAGAAGCCAACTGGCCTGAAGCACGTCTGAACTGGGAAAGGGGAGTAGTTCTAACTTTGAGTGAAATTTGAAGTTTGATTATTACACTGACCTAGATATATTAATTATTGAGTAGAGAATGTTTCATTACCTGAAAGGAGCAAGAGAAGTCATAAGATTTGTCCAAAATTTCATCCATGGACAGAATAAAGTGGTCCCACAGGATTCATTTAAAGAAGAATGGAAGACATGAATTATGGGACTTTATGATTATATCCTATGGGTCATTGCTTGTTCAACATAACAGTGCTTCAGTGGTTTGCACAGTGAAATCAGATCATTCTGCTCTCCCCACTGCAAGATTCACTAAAAGACACATTAGCTTTAGGATATGTTCCTGAGTCAGCTAAGGCTTACAGGAGAGGCCAGAGCCATGCTGTCAGGACCAGAAAGCGTACCATGCATGAGCAACCCCAACACCCTATTTAGGAAATGAAGGCTCAGAGAGAAGAAAAGATTTTCCCAAGCTTGCACATGTAGAGACATCAAATACAAACAAACAAAACAAACAAAAGCAATAAAACACAAATATATATAGTATCTGCTCACATAGACCATATTTAATTAGGTAGCATTCTTTGTAGAGGCCAAATTTCTTCCCATTTCCCAGGTTTCAGGGAGATTAATGTAAAATTGTAAACAGCCTTCTTGACAGTATCTAAAAATAAAAACCTATGGGAAGAATCTAGGTTTTTTCTTCTCTGCTGTCCTCTTAAGCTTAAGATAGAGCCACTCTTATTATAAGCATCTTTTTGTTGAAGGCTCGAAGCCTATCTGTGACCACATACATGCGAATGTATTCATTTTGCATTATTTGTAGTAGTCACTCAATACCCCTAAAACTTTCCCAAGCTCATGCATTTGTCTTATCACAACACAACACAAGATCTCACATGATGCTTAGACCAGAAGAGGGCTCAGTAAATGACATAATGCCTAGGTTCCAGCTTCACTGGCTATGCGTTCTTTATATATCAACAATACTGCTTCCAGACAAAGAAAAAAGGCAACATTTCTGCTCATCCTCGGGAACCTGGAATCCGGGCCTAGAGTCATGTTCAACTTTTTTTATTATTATTATTATATATTTTTTTCATGTTCAACTTTTTACAAATCCATTACTCAAGATCACTAAGTGGAGGTTCCTAGCCCCTTGAGCAGACAACGCTGTGGCCCCTACGTGCCCTTACCAACCTTCCCAGCAGCTTTCCTATGCTGAGCTACTCTGCAACAAAAGGCAATCAGCCCCTGGATCGCTTTCCATCCTGTGATGACAGAGAAACACTGACTCTTACTGAAAAACCTATTTGACTCATGGCCTATTGATGTGGGTGGGTGGGTCCCTGTGGCCCTCAGGTAAGACCAAAATAATCTATTCCTTAGCCCTAGTTTCTTCAGGATTCCTTTGTTCCTCACTGTTGTAGACTTGCAGTGACTCAGCAATGATGGATAAGTGTCCAAGAGTCTTAATTAGAGGAGAGTGAAGAAAATCATTCATTATATGTGATGTGGTCTCATTGTCTAAATTCTAGCACCATAGGCCTGAAAGCTCTAACATCAGCTCTCAGGAGCTGGAATAATCTCTTCCCACTACAGCCTGTATGGGGACTGTCTAGGCAGCCTTCGTCCTGGCCATTCCTGACCTTCCCCTGGGTAGGGGGTAGGCAGAGAAGCAGCCTGGGAGCCTCCAGCAGGAGAGCTCACCAGAGCTTCCAGGAGGGCAGGGACACCCGGGACCACCTGTGCGCACAGGGAAGACAGACAGACAAAGCCTACCTGACTCCATCCTGCCTTCCTTCTTCTCCTGGGCTTCCTCGGAGCCCCTGGAGCCCCTGGGGAAGGGCTGGTGGCTGAAGAGGTCATCACACAGGAGGCTTCGGCACAGCTTGGCGAGGAAGCGGAGGACATACCCGACGCTGTTCACCACAGGCAGGCTCCGCAGGTGCTGCTTCCCATCAAAGGATGCCGAGACTGGAAAGCCACAGAGACAGCAGCTCACAATGGGGCACGAGGGCCATGGGTCCATGCAAGGAGGATTTTGTTTGTTAAGTTGTGCTTTGTTCTTAACTAAGCTTTATTCAGATTTCACCTGTCACTTAATGTCCTGTTTGTGTTCCAGGATCTCATCCAGGATCCCATACTGGGGTTAGTTGCCACATCTCCTTAGTCTCCTCTGGTTTGGGACTGGTTTCCAGTCTTTCCTCGTTTGGCATAACCTTGACAGTTTTGAAGAGTACCGGTCAGGTATTCTGTTAAATGTCCTTCAATATGTGGTTTTCGAATGTTTTTCTCATGATCTGACTGGGATTAAGGTTTGGGGGGAAGAATCGAAGCGCCCCTGTCATCACATCAGATCAGGGGTATGTGATGTCCACAGGACATCACTGGGATGTCAGCCTTCATCACCTGGCCAGATAGTGCTTGCTGCATTTCTCCCACTGCACCCTTCCTATTCCATTCTTTGGAAACAGGTCACAAGGTCATGTTCACACTCAAGGGTGGTGAAGGGATTAAGCTCTACCTCCGAGGAGGGGAGAGTCTCTATATCATTTGAATTCTTCATAAGAGAAAACTTCCATTTTTCCTTCCTTCCTTCCTTCCTTCCTTCCTTCCATTATTTATTAATATCAGTGTAGATGCAATATATGTATTTTGCATTGTAGGTTATCCAATACTATACTATTTATTTTGTTGCTTAATTTGCTCCATCTTTTGTCTTTGGGACTTTTGGTGTCCTGTGTCCCTATGACATGCCCCCATTTTTTAAAGCAATTTTTGGTTACTGACACTTCAATATGCTTCAAATTCATCGTGAATTTTTCTTGCCCCTGCCCTAAATCAGCCATTTCTCCAACAGCCCTAGTTCCCTGTTACTGAAGAATGATCTTTAGAAACCAAGATTTGGACACTGGATATGCTCATTGCTACTGGAGTGTCAGTAGCTTTGGGTCATTCTGGTGGAGAGAGCTAAGAATCATATGTATGTATACAATTCTATTATGATTATTTCTCTGGAGAGAGAGAGAGAGAGATGGATAGAGCGAGTTAAATCAATAGATTGATTGGGGGATCTAGATCTAGATAGATAGATATATCCAAATAAACCTGAGTTCATGCTGAGGTCTCTAGCTCTAATCCAGCATCACAGAGTTCAGGGTTCTTTCTACCCTTCTGGGGAAGAACCCTTAAAAGGAACAATAATTTCTCCACGGTGATTCTAGATGAAATTCAATTTCTATAGGGTTACTAGAATTTAGAAGAAATACATTTCTTCCAGCATGTTCCTTTCTATAATTTTCCTTGCAGCCTCTCTCACCCCATGACGCTTGAATACCAGCTCCGCTGTTCCACAGGAGCAGACCCTAAGAGGACAATTTGCTCCCAGCCAGGTCGCTGCCATTCATTGCCAACACCTAGAGGGCAGCCCTGTTTTCCATATTTTATCCCAAGGCAGGCACATGGCAGGGACTGGGGCAAGGGCAACACCAGAACTAGTTTTGATTTTAGAACTAAAATAAAAACAAGATATTTTAATTAGAAATCAAAAGAATCCATTTTTGGTATCTCTTTATAGTTTGACAAGAGCATTCACATCCATCGGCTCATTCAGGCTTCCTGACTCTCTGGTGAGGACAGTAGACAAAAAGTTATTACCCCATGTTACAGATGAGGAGATTGGGAAGAGGGTATAGAGTGATTTTTCCAGCTCATGTGGCCTCTAAGTGGCACTTGCCTGTCACGTTAATGCTCCAGGTGACTCTATTTGGGAGATCTGGCAAAAAGCTGTCACTAAGGGATTTATCCTAGCCACTCACACACTCTGGAGATTCCCTCTTAGTGCGAGTATTGCTGTTGACCTCCAATATTTTAGAAGACTAAGTGTGATGGAAACTGAACCCACAACAGGAGAGTCTGGGTCATCAGGTCTGTCCCTTAAATCAATGTTCATACACTCCCAGAGGTGCTTGGAAGGGCCACATCCTAGAAGCAAATGTGGCATTTGTGAGACCATAAAGTCTACCCCTCTGGGATAGTGTGGCTCAGAGTGAGGGTTCCAGGGTACTGCACTACCGGTCCTTCGCCAAGGCCCAACTCATGGCAGTCGGGTTCCTTTAGCTCACTGTGCCAGCACCAATGTCACCATTTCCTGTGTTGTGCCATGGGAATGTTTGGAAAGCAGTGCCCTAAGGATTAGGTTCTAGGTAGAGAGTGCAAGAGTCTAGTTATTTCTCCTTAAGTCCCTCCCTGAGCCATCCTGGTGCTATCACAGTCTTGCTGAGCCTCCATAGCACGTCAGTAATGTCAAAGGCCATCTTACCACTTTGCAACCTCAAGGAGGCAGCATGAAGAGTCCCCTAGTGCTACCGCCTTCTCCAAGACACTAAGACCGGGTGAGTGCTCAGCTCTGGACTTCCTGGGAATCCCTCAGCCAAGGGAAAGTTGGCAGGCCTCCGCCCAGGCTTGTGTTGGTGCCAGGCACTGCAGAACCTGCTCCCCAGTGCCAAGGCCCCTGAGGCCACAGAAGGGCTGAGCAGGGAAAATGTGATTGGCTCTCCCAGCTTAGGGAGAGGGGCCATAAAGAACTCAGGTAGAATTTGCTCAAGAGGGTGGGCGCACAGTACAGGAGAAGCTTTCTCTCGGCACCATGTCTCTGTGTCTTGGGCTACTCAGCAAGGAAAAGGACAAAGCCTTCAACCTCAGAGGGCAGCCCAGGTTTGAGAACTTGGCTCTCAGACAAAAACCAGGAGAAGAATGGCCAATGGGATCCCAGAAGGCTGTCAAGACTCTCCTCCTGGCCTCTTTTGGTGCAGTATTTTTTCCTCTTGTCTCTGCTTCTGCTAAAGTTTCTTAAAAGTCATCCTGGGTCAAACACATGCACCTAGACCTTGCCAAGTTCTATTTTAATCAGTTACCATCAAGTCAGACCCAGTTTCCTGCTCAGAAGGAACTCCAGAAGGTAGACAGAACCAACCAGGCTGGGGAAGCTGTGTTGGACAACTTCCCCACCTCCAAGCCCTGAGGCTCTAGAGTTAAATAAAATGCCCAGTGACATTAGAGGCCCCTCTCCCCCGACCCACCTCTCTTAGACAGCTGGCAGGGTCATCTGCAGCTCCCCATTGCTAGGGAATCTTCTCCCTATCTCCTGGTGGTATGGAGGCCATGCCCTTGATGTTGGGCCAAAGAAGACATCAGACTGTCCCCTTGGAATCAAGACAACTTGCAAAGACCTGGTGCTCTAGGGCTTAAGGGCAGGTGGTGACAATTGTGTAGAGAGCTACAGGCAGGGCAGAAAGAGCTCTGCAGGCAAGCATTGGGAGGGGGCAGAGCTCTCAACCTGCCTCTCACCTGGGGTGACACTGCCACTACCACTGGAAGCTGCTGAGGTAGGGCTGAAACTGGAAGATGTTGGTAACAATGGGAGAAGGGACTGACCCTGAAGCATCTTTTAAAAAAGACAACAGCCCACCTCTTGAGAGATGCTTGGGACCAAGAGCTTCCCCACTGCCACTGGTGATGATATGTACCATGAAGAAAGAGTGAGGCAGAGTAAGGGACGATAGATAGTGACAAGGACTGATATTTTAGACAGGGCGGACAGAAAAGGGCTCCTGGATAAGACACCATTTGAGTAGAAACCCAAAGGAAATCCAGGAACAAGTTACACATGGATAGCTGGGGACAGAACACTGCAGAAACAACAGCAGGTGCAAAGACCCCAGAGATGGGATGGGTGGAGATAACAGGGGGGAAGAGGAAGGCCACCATAGCTGCAGAAGAGTAAGGATTCAGGAGAAGTGACCTCGCGATCAAAGAGGTAGGCGGGCCCAGGTCACATTAGGCCTCTGGGTCCTCACAAGGAAGTGAGTTTTTCTTGGAGTAACATGAGAAGCACTGAAGGTGTAGGGCAGGGGAGGAGCATGATCTGACTGAGTTTTAAAGAACCAGAGTGGCTGCTGTGAGGTGAAATGTGGCTGGATTCTGGATATGTTTTGAAGTTAGAGCAATAGGATTTCCTGATGAGCTGGAAGTGAGGGATAGTGAAACAAGATTCAGATGTTCAATCTTCTTGTCCAGGTCTAGAAGGATCTTCCCCTTGAGCCCAGAGAGAGGACCTCAGCACGCAGACTCATTCAAGGCTCCTGGAGCCCAGCAGATGGAAGACAGACCCTGGCCACACTGTCCCTTAAGCCTGACTATGGCTTCTTTCCTCTTCGGAGAGATACCCACGGCCCTCCTCATACAACCTGCCCCAGGGCCTTACCTGACACCATCTCACCACCATAACCCTGCTTGACCAGGGAGAAGACCAACTTCTGCTGGTGGGCACAGTCGATGCATGCTTGCACGGCCTGCTGCAAGACCGCTGAGGGCCTCTCGGGCCCAAAGTGCTCGGGGAGCTGCTGCACCTTCCTCCTCTCCAGGTACGGCCCTGCATTGGCCTGCTTGTTGATGTAGAGACAGACTGTGGAAACAGAGACCCACAAAGCCCTCAGCATCGGTTGCATCATGCCAGGGGGCTGTTCCTGTGTGCATGGGGGATGCCTCAGCCGTGCCCCCTTGGCCCTCACCTTGGGAAAGCTGAAAAAGACAAAAGTGGTAGTGATTCTTCCCAACTTGAGAAATAAGAGAGGCCAGAGAGCCAATCACTCCGGACTTCCAGGCCTGCTCTCAAGAGAACCTCTTAGTTGGGAACAGATAGACAGGTGGGTCCCCTCTTATGTACTCAAGTCAGAATTGCAGACAATTATGGAGGCCCATGTGGACCATGTGTATAAATGTATTTCCATACCGGGCATGTACCCATACAAAATCTTCCTTCATCCTCCAAATAATCTGTGAAGTTACATGTAATGTTTGCCAATTTTTTTAGTTAACTTTCAATGAATGAAAAAAATTAAGACGATGCTGATTATTCCAAAGACTATAAATTCAATGAAATTCTAAAGAGAGTGTTATTTATAATCCCAGAGATGTGTTACTCAGCTGCCCATTTAGGTGAGCCCGACCAATGGTCCCCACACTTTTAAAGTCATAAACCCCATCAGTATATTTGAGCACATGCCCAAAATGTGTTTATTTATTTACAGGGTATATACATTCTGGACTGTTTTAATATATTTGCATGCATTTTAAAACATAATCAAGACATAGAGAATTTTAAAGAATGAGATAGAAATAAAAATTAATGATAGGTGTCAATATTTTCTTCCCTATAGCAACGACGCCTCTTTTGTCTCCCCCTCACCTCTAGCCCAGGGTATGAGGATCTTACCTTGGGGGCCACTAGGGCAAAACAATGTCCAAAAAGGACTTAAAGAAAGAAACAACAGGATTTGGAAAGGATTAAACGGCATTAACAAAGGGGAAGAAAGTTTTTATTCGGCACTTACTCTATTCCAGGCTCTTTGTATGTTTTATCTTGTTTGATTCTCAAGACAAGCCTGGGAGTGCGGTACGATTACTTCCTCCACTAATGAAGAAACTAATGAAGAACTGAGGCTTAATGGTCAGATGGCTGCTTTAAAGTCTAAAGTTTCATTAGTGGTGCAACAGGGATTTGGACTCAAGTCTTTGTGATGTCAAAATCTGCACTCTTTCCCCTCCACCAGGCTGCCTTCTCTTTACTCATCCCAGATAATTATGGAAATCTAATCAATAAGGGACCTTTATGCCAGGCACTGTGCTAGGTAAGCAGATTCACAGGGTCCTTGACTTCACGGAGCTGGGGGGCCAATTGGGAAGGCAGAGCTACCAGGAGCACTACAGGAAGCCTTGCAGGACTGTCACTTCAAGACACCCTGAGGAGGTGCTAGGAGGGCCCATCCTGGGGACCCTGGCAGGAAAGTCAGTGAAGGCCTTCTGGAGCAAGGAATGCCTGAATTGAGATACACTGGAGGAGAAGGGCAACCAGAGAGAAGATTGTTCCAGATAGAGGGAAGGCAATATGTTGAAGCCCCAAGGGGAGGGGTTGGCTCTAGGGACTGAGAGAAGAGCTGTGAACTGCAGGGCTCTGTTGGCCACATAAACAAGTTTGGTTTTTTCCAAAGAGCAATGGGAGGGAAACTGATGGGGTTCACGTGAGTTAGGGGGTATGGGTGGCTTGTGATGAGGGGGAGAGTGTGTGTGTGAGAGAGAGAGATGTCATCCTACTGCAGGTACTCTTATAATAGAAATGTTTGCTGGCAGACATGAGAAAGACCGGACTGAACTCTATTCTGACTGGATTGGAGACAGCATGTGGGATTAAGGGAAGTTAGGGTCCTTAGGAGACCTGGAAGCACAAACACAGGGATGGAAGTTCTCTAAGGTAAGCAGGCTCACTCTTGGTGCGAAGTAAACTTGGCTCTGTGAAGAGCCACCAAACTGGGCCACCAAACCCCCCTTTCTAGTCCCATCTTAAGAAAACCAGCTGAACCTGAGATGCATTGAAAACCAAGTTTCAAGTAATCCTATCAATGAGACACTTAAGCTAATGTTCTCAGAGAATTCGGTTGTCCTCCTGCTGTCCAGCTAACACACTAAGTCCTTCATCGAAGCTATCTCAGTGGCAGCTCTCCAGTTCACAGAGTAACTGCTAGATGGCATGCTGGCCATCACAGCCTTTAGAGGTCATTCAGCTGACCTACCTGTGAGAGCCTGTGGGGCCGCCAAGCTGGGTATGGTGGCTGCATCCTGAGGGATGGAACTGAGGTCGGGCTCCGGTGTGCTTCGTGGAGGCGAGAGGGCTAAAGGAGTCATAAGAACCCGAGACTTGAGCTGCAAGACAGAGCCCATTTGGTCAAGGAAAATCTGGAAATGCTCTCTACACTTGCCCCTAGTTTTTCCTGGACATCAGTTAACCATTGCTACTCTATCATTTTTCTACACCTTTCTATTGTGCAACTAAGGGGCTGAACTTCAGATTCAAGCTCATGATCAAAATTTCATGAGTGTTTGGGGTCACACTCAGAGATCAGCTCTACACTCCACCCTTATGGTGGAGCCACCCAGGAAATGACTGTATCAGCCAGTGAGTGTGGAAACACAAGAGGTATGAACGGTTGAGGCCTATGAGCCCTCTGAATGCAGGATGCAGGGCAGTTCCCAGGCTGCAAATCCCTAGAATCCTGCGGACAGGGCTTTCCCAACAGCAACCAGAGACTGATTCTGAAGCTCTCCTCAGTCTCTGCTCAGCTTTCTGCTCACATAGATCACTAGATCCTGCTGGGGAAAAAAGAGCAGAAACCATTTCTCCAAGAGGTTGACATACTGCTCAGTGTTTATTTCCAACAGCAGAAACTGTCAAGGACAGCCTGAGTGTGGTCCTGAGTGTATTCTCTGGTGGTGAGAAGCAGCCGCCTTAAAGGACTCACTGGAAATCACAAAGGAGGAGCTGAGATTTGCTGTTATGGAATAAGATGGAGATGACTGGTTGGTTGATTATGTCAATGCCAACGAGTCACTCTCCGTACCAAGGTTTGACAGAAAATTGTCTAATCCTTGTTCACCATAAAAAAAAAATAATGAATAATTCAGTCACTTCTCCTCTTCACCACTGACCTATCTGTTTTCTACTCCAGACCAGTTAAATCAATCTCTGGGAGTGGGACCAAGGCATCAGGAGTTTTAAAAAGTACTCAGATGATTCCAATACACAGTTAAGATTATGGGTCACTGCTCCAGTGCTTTTCAACTTTAGGATGCAGTACCTAGGGGGTCCTATGAAAATGTAGATTCTAATTCAGAAAGTCTGGGGTGGGGCCTGGGATTCAGCATTTCTAACAAGCTTCTAGGCACTGCTGATGCTGTAGTCTGTGGACCACACTTTGCGTAGCAAGGGTCTGCATTCTGTTGTTAATCATAGGCAGACCTCACCCATATCCTAACTTGCTTCCTGGATTTTTAAGATAGAATAATAATAACAGTCATGAAAAAAAGCAGTATTCTTACTGCTAATTATGCACTCATTCCACATTTTTTCATGTCTTCACTCAACAAATATGTATTGAGTGGCTATTGCAAAGCAGATACTCTTCTAGTTACTAGGGATACAACAGGAGAACAAATCAGACAAAAGTCTTTACCCTCATGGAATCGAGGGTAAAATTGCTATTGGGGGTAATAGACAATAAGTAGAATAAATAAGTACGTGATATAGTATGTTAGAAGATGATAATAGCTGGAGGTAAAAATAGAGAAGGGAGATGGAAGTTCAATTGAGGAGTTGTACTTTAGATAGAAATCTTTAAATTGGACGATTAGGGCACTCTTGGGTGACACTGCACAAAGATTTCAGGGAGATAAGGGAGCAAGTCATACCAGTGCCTATGGGAAAAATATTCCAGTGAGTGAGACTATCAAGTGCAAACATCCAGAGACAGATGCATGCCTAGAGGGTTTATGCCTCTGTAGGGAAGCAAAGTGATACTGGAGAGGTAACACAACCACAGGGCTTTGCAGGGCATTGTAAGTTCTTTGGCTTTTACTCTGAGTTCTTTAAAGCAGAGAAGCTACAGGATCTGACATTTTAACCATTGATTGATGTGTTAAGAAGACATGAAACGGGCAAAAATGGGAAGACCACTAATCTAGAGTAGATGAGAGATGATGGTAAGTTGGATTTTCATGACTGATAGCAGTGGAGGTGATGAGAGGTAGACAGATGGGCCTCCTTGAATAGATTTTCAAGGTAGAACAGCAGGACTTATTGACACACTGGTTGTGATGTGTGTGTGTGAAAGAAGTCAAGGATGGCTCTGAGGTTTGGGCCAGGAAAGCTGCAAGTGGAGTAAAGGGTTTTTTGGACAGAGGAGGAAGGAGTTGACTAGGGAAGACCAGAGGCTGTTTTTGGACATGTCAAAGTAGCAATGCCTACATCCAAATAGAGATGTTAAATAGGCAGGTGCATGCATGTCCTGGAGTACGGCCTTCTGAGGGAAAATCTAAAGGGAGACTTAATTTGAGAATCATTAATATAGAGCTGATATCTAAGGGCCATGATAATGGGTAAGATAATCAGAGAATAATAGAAGGAGTGTAGATGGAGAAGAGAAAAATCCAAGCACTGAGTCCTGCAAGACTCCAACATGAAGAGTCTTGGAGAGACAAGGAGGAACCAGCAAAAGAAACCAGGAAAGACATCCAGTGGGGTAGAAAGAAATCTGGGAGAGTATGGCCTTGTGGGAGCCAACTGAGAGAAAGTGTTTCACAAAGGAGAGTCAACCATGTCAAGAGCTCTGATCACAAGGAAGACTAGATGTGTCCATTAGATGTAGCAACTACTCAGCAAGAGAGGTGGTAGTGCAGTGGATGGGATGAGAACCCGATTGAAATTATCTCAAAAGTAATAGGAAGAGAAGCACTGGGATCAACTCTTTCAAGAAGGCTTGTCTGGAAGGGGAGCCAAAAATTAGAGCAAGAAGGAAATGTTGGATCAAATAATGTTTGCCCCACGATGCGGTATCACCTCATACCCATTAGGATAGCTACTGTCAAAACACAGATAAAAATAAAGTGTTGGCAAGGATGTGGAGAAATCAGAACACTTGTGCACTGTTGGTGGGAATATAAAATGGTGCAATATAGCAGTTCCTCGAGAAATTTAAACTAGAATTGCCCAGGAATTCCATTTCTTGGTCTATAGCTAAAAGAATTGAAAGCGGGCTCTCCATGAGGTATTTGTACACTCAAGTGCATAGCAGCACTAGTCACAATAGTCCATAAGGAAGCAACTACAATAGATAGATAGAGGGGGTATCTACACTCAAGGGAATACTATTCAGCCCTAAAAAGGAAGGGAATTCTGACACATTCTACATCATGGGTAAGACTTGAAGATATTTGCTAAGTGAAATAAGCCAGTCACAAAAAGTACATGATTCTACTAATTTAAGGTACCTAGAATAGTCAAATCCATTGAAACAGAAAGTAGAGTAGTGTTTTCCAGAGGCTGGATGGGAGGAAGGAATGGGGAGTTATTTAATGGGTATAGAGTTTTGGTTTTACAAGGTGAGGTTCTGGAGACTGAAAGCACAACAATGTGAATACACTTAACACGACTGAACTGTGCTCTTAGAAATGGTTATGATGGTACATTTTATGTCATATGTCTTTTACCACAATTAAAACATTTAAAAAAGATCCTTTAAGATTTTTTTTTTGAGATGGGAAAGATGTGTTTTAATGCTGATGGAAATAATCCAATGGAGAGTGGGGAAGAAAGAATGATACAGTGGAGTGCTTGGAGAGCTGCGGGCATCAGGACTTTGAGTAGGTGAGAGGGGATGAGAGTTAGTGAATGGAGGCGGCGGGTGGGAGGGGTGTGTCAAGTCCGTGGAGAGAAACATGGACCTTTCATCTATTTTTATTGCAAAGTAGAGTATAATGGCCCAGATCTGGGCAGGGGGTGGGGGGTGGTGGTGAGTGGATGTGGAGATGAGAACTTACAAAGGTCTCTTCTGTTGGCTTCTAGTTTCTCAGTGCAGGAGCTTGAGTGTGAGGATGGAGGAGCGTGTATTAATGAACTAGGAGGGTGGGAGGAGTGGGGGAATAGGGTGTGGCTGCTGAGCAGCACTGGGGGTGCAGTGGGATGTGTGGAAATGAATTTAAATTCATTGAAATGAGTTTAAAATGAGATCAGTCAAAAGTGAGCATACTAGCTGCACAGGGCTGTATGGGCACAGAATCTGGGGCTCTTGCAAGGGACCCTACATTAGTCGGGAGCTATAGTCAACAACAGATTTCATCTTATCCTGTGTTTACCATTTGAAAAATTAAAGGGCTCAACACGTGGCCATCCTCTGTTAAATACTATAAAAATAATCCAAAAGAAACCTCACTGCTGGGAAGGAGTAGACCAGAAACCTGCTGTGACTCAGTCACCATGACTTTGGCACGCTTCCCTCACCCACCAAGGGTGACAAGGGCTATCATTACCCTGCCTGTTCTCGCAGGTCCTGCACCAAGGGTCCCTCTGATGGTCCTTCTAGGAATGATATGCTGCCCTGCATGGCTTGTGGTAGAAAGGTTGGTGGGGGCAGTCCCCAAGGACCGTGGACAGTGGGCTCTAGAAGGACCTTGGCTAAATCCTCCTTCACAGGGTTAAAGCCCTCCCACCAATGCACAGATAATGATGTTCGTGGCGAAAAAGCAAGATTTGGCAAGTTGTCATTCCACCCCCGCTCCCCGCCCCCATGGTCTTTAAGTAAACCACACAAAGATCCTCATGATCCTTCCCTGGAAGGATGGTGATGTGACAACGGTGATGATGGTGAGGAGAGTGCTGGCGGCTAAGACAGATGACCAGATACCGCTTACCACTCATATAAGCATTGTCACAACCCTAACATCTAATGCTCACTATTTTCATATTTACTAGAAAAGGACCTCTTCATTGAACCCACCTCCAATGAAGTAACACAATTATAGTTGGCTGTTACCTCTGCCCCTTATTTCTGCCCAGATAAAGCAACTGAAGGAATTAGAATAAGTCAGCTGGTCGCAGGGCAAACCGTCTGCATTCATCTAACCCCTAAAACAACCATCAGGACTCTTGAACAAAGAAGACATCTCATGCAACTCTGGGTAGTATGTGCCTTTGTAAAAATTGTTCTCAGTAAGAGAATAAATCATCAGTAGGAATACTTTTGACCCAGCATTCTGAAATTTCTATCTCATTGCCTAATATAAAGGAAAAATCCTGGCTTAGGAAAGGGAGTCACATATGATTTGAGAAGGGCCTAAAGTAGAAATGAGCCCATTGGCTAGGAATGTCCCTT